GAAGGTTAGAGACGGACCGGACCAACACCTGACAGAAGGTTAGAGACGGACCGGACCAACACCTGACAGAAGGTTAGAGACGGACCGGACCAACACCTGACAGAAGGTTAGAGACGGACCGGACCAACACCTGACAGAAGGTTAGAGACGGACCGGACCAACACCTGACAGAAGGTTAGAGACGGACCGGACCAACACCTGACAGATGTTTGGAGATGTCATAAAGGAGGTGTAGTGCTGTCAGTCATGGTGTATTACAACGTGTTTTTGTACCTTAGAGACTCTCCTTTTTTTTAAATAGCTTCCTGAAATGTTTAACTTCTATTATGTGGAGAACCTTAACACCCCCCCCCCACCAAGACCACACCCCCCCACACACACACACACACTTATTCTCCAATAGTTTGTTTCACATAAATCATAATGTCCTCAGTGCATAGAAGATGAGAATTCTTCTCTTTTTCTAGTATTTGTTTAGGGTTTTATGTATAAATAGAAATTATGTAATTTCTTGGTTTAAAAAAAAAAAGCTTAGTTTTGTTAAATAATCATCTGAAGCTTCACCTGATTAATAAATTTATTATACAGGTGAGTGTAGCTCATATTTTTATTGCTTACCTGTAGATCATGCAACTCCTGTTTCTGTGATTCAGTGCAACAGTTTTAATAACCGTCTGTCAGCAATGGTTTTCTGGACATGTCGCTGTTTCAGGAGAAGGAACTTCGTGACGTTGGTGACTGGCGCAAAAACATCGAGGACAAATCTGGAATGGACGGGAGGAAGAAGATGTTTGAGGCCGAGGCCTAAAAGACGTGGCTTCGGTGTTTCAGCACGTTTCTTTTACTCAGCAAGACGGTTTAGATGTTTGTTTCATGGAGCGCACAAATAATTTTATGAACTTCCCCGTAACCTGCAGATTTTCAATAAAGAATTTTCAAATTATTAAAAAATATCCTTATCTTGATTTTTTTTTTTTATTAAGGAAAGTGTAAAAAGTGTTGTTAATTTCTTGCTAACAACTTTTGTTTATTGTCCAAAGTGTAAATGCAGATACTTTCTGACCGCTGGAAACAAAACAACCACATCAACGAGAATAATATTAAAAATAAAGCAAGAACAATCAAATGTGACGTTTTCTGGGTCAGGTCTGA